CTATATGGGTTTTCTATTGCCTGAAATAAAGATATTTTATTTTATTTATTATATATACTGCATAGATCAGAACAAAAATTAATAATTTTAATCTGGAAGATGGTTAACTATGATTTTAGGATGTCAAACACTTTAGTCCCCTCTGTGAACCATGAGTGTTGTAAAATGCTCAAAACGTCGCGAATATAAAAAAAAGTTAATATACATGATATAAGTAGGTCACTCAATAAGTTTCAAAGTGTTTCAAGTTCAAAACTTATTGAGATGCTCAAAATTTAAAAATGGAATGCACCTGTGTTATATGTTTCAGCTAATTGCTCAATATTGAAAAATAAACAAAGTTCTATTAATTTTCCTGCAATGCTTCCCGCGCTTTTCATTTAAAATGATGATATTAAATATGGTTTAACCGAACAATTAAGTTTACAACGGTTACAATAAGAATTAGGGGACTCAGCTCCATCACGCGTAGCAATTTTTAGGTGGTTTGCTGAATTTAAAAGGGGTAAAATTAACCTTGGAAATGACCGAAGAATCGGACCCGCAAACAGCAGTAATGGCAGAAAATTTACGGACTACTGAAATGTTAGTGGAAGAAGACCCACAAATCACATATATGGACATCGACAAGATTGTAGGCATTAGTTCGGGGAGCATTCATACCATCCTACATCAACATCTTGGAATGAGGAAGCTTTGTTTTCGATGGATCCCTCGATTGCTTTCTGAAAGTGAAAAACAGACTCACTCATGTGAATTGGTGCCATGAAATGCGTCTACATTCTCAAAACGGGTCATCTAGACGTGTTTCAGAAATCGTTACTGGTGACGAGACATGGATCTATCAATATGATCCAGAAAATAAAAGGCAATAATCAGTATGGGTCTACTCAGAAGGGCAGTTACCGACAAAACTGCAAATACCTCACCTACCTACCGCAAAAATATGGTGGCCAGTTTTTTTCTCGCGAAGCGAACATTTGTCGATGACAATGCTGGAAAATTGTAGGTCAGTTAACTCTGAATGGTACACTAGTTGCATTACCCAAAGCTTTTCAAGCTGTGCGGCAGAGAAGACCAAAGACACAAGCTTTGGCTATTCATGCTGCATCATGATTACGCCTCTTCACATACCTCCCTTAGAACAAAAGAATTTATTGAGGAATCTGGTGTTGAAACTCCTAAGTCACTCACACTACAGCCCTGAATTAGCTCCTTGTGATTTCTTTTTATTCCCAAGAGTCAACGACAAAAAAAAGGCAAATTTTTTGTTCAAGCGCCGAAGAAGCCGTGGGTGCCTACGAATACGCGATTTCCGACCTGTCAGATCAAGACTGGCAAAAATATTTTCAGAGTTGGTTTAGGCAAATGGAACTTTGTATAGAGCATGATGGCGAACATTTTGAAAAGATGTAAAATAAATATTTATAGTATCTGGAATACCTTTTGTACATCTTTATACCATCTACCATTATTACAATACAGATACTAAATGAAACACAAATACACCCATATTCAGAACATACTCACACACTACTCATACAACATGCACAAATTTATATACCACACCACATACTACAACTACTAAATACACATACACTCTATATATGTAAAATACTACCCTAATATATTATATTATTGATGTATTAATGCTTTGAGACTGATGGTAGGATACCATAGTCATGTTTTTATTATCTTTATTATTTACTTTAGGATATTTTATTTCGTTAATAATATTGTAATTCTTAGTTCTTGTAATGGAAGAGTGAAGTCACCTGTTACAGGCATTATTTTGCTTACTAGGTGACTTCGATCACTGATCATATAATATAACAGTAATGTTTGACAAAATAAATAATTTATTATTATTATTTATTACATCTCAAAACTTATTGAGTGTCCCACGTAATCTATAAAAAGTAATTTTATTTAAATGTGTAGTGTTCGCATAAACACAAAAAATCATTATAAATTTGGATGTTTGTCTTTAACGTCATTTAAAACAGTTTTATGCCAAGATTCTAAGGAATTTGTAGTTCTGTGAGGCACTATGAATGAATTCCAAACAGCCATATATTTTTCATTCTTGAGCCATGACTTTTGATAGTATTTCACAAACGCCATTATAGTATCATCATTATTCAAAAAGGATTTTACAAACACCCATCATGTTTCTATAAACGACTGTACACAGGAGAAGGAGAAAATTGGAAGAAAAATAATATACGAATTCTGATTTTCCACCCCGTCTGGGGTGGGTAAATGGACACATGTTTCTGAGTCTCCACGCTAGGTTGGATTTCTTAGAGTTCATTTTGTATAGCTTACATAACTTAGAATATACAAAAATTTAGAATTTTAGTTATCTTAACTTGAGCTGCAGATAAGCTCCCAGGGTCTAAGGGAACACAAATTGTACAAGAGGTACATACAATATAATATAATAATACATATGTTAAACTTTCTACAACTCACATTTATTTTATTTGATTATTTAATACACTACAGCAGCATAAGGAAACACTACATTCCATATATTTTGGTTAGGCCATGGAAAAAGTCCAGATGACACAAGTGCATGAAGTTTTTGGGACTAAATAAATATGGCACTTGGCCATCGCATGAATATACAATGTATCTCACAACTAATATATATTATATTAAATTAGATTGCTTAGTGCGATTGCCAAGTCAATCTATATTATTAATATTTAAAACAAAATATTTTTAACATTGATAAGGCCACTATAAAATGTTGTTAGGTTAGCTAATTATGTAATAACTTAAAACAGAGGAACCTTAAGGACCCTTAAGTAGGGACTGAATAAATTAACCGACTTGGCATTACATGGATCTCACAACTTTTTATGGTAGAAGACTAAGTTGCGAGACTTGGTTTTTTAGTAAGTTATGTTTTTGATGGCATCTAATTTCTTTTTATAGATAAGATAGTCCTACTTTTACCTTTCCAGTACATTCTACTTCTTGAATACCAACAACGTACCTATCTACACCTATTACAATTACACAGATGCATTCACTGCAAATGTAACTTTGTAATTCTATATATTTATATGATATTACAAAGTTATTTATGCAGTTAGTGTATCTAGAAAACTGGACCAAAATTAAAAAATATTTTAGTTTTTTCCTTGATTTATACACTAAACCCTAATTGTATACTAAATTTGAAGCTTCTATGTCTACTAGAAGTGCCTTAGAGTTTTAGAGTGCTTTAGAGTCAGTGAGTGACAAAATTAAGAAACTTTGACTAGTTATAATTTTTAAACTACTAGTTCAAATTGAATGAAAATTGAAATATACCATGTTTATACAATGCCTACTTGGTTACTGAAAATTCAGGCTTATAGTTTTATCCACTATGAAGTTATAGGGGTCGAAAATGGCCTGAATAGCTTTGAGAAAAGTATGGTACGGCCGTGCCGCTTTTTTGCTCGACTTAGCGGGGGCACTGCAGTGCCCTCAGATTAATTGCAAAAAGGATGTATACCTTCTTAATTTTAGCAATAACTTTGCACATAATGTAAAGTGAAAAGGAAAATGTAAACATTTAAGCATATTATATAAAGCAATCATCAAGAAAATGTGGAGTAAATATTAAATCTCAAGAAAAGATAGTCCTCACAGCAAACAATCAACTGCATAATTTCTGTTGAATTGAAAATTGAAAACAATGAATTAGTTTATTATTTTATAAACTTCTCTTTTATTATTTGTCAACTTTATATTTATACTAACAAAATATTGGCATACTAATTGCTCTTTGCAAGTCCCTAACATATCTCTGACTGGCTCTCATTATGATAGTTAATACCATAAAATAATAATATAATGTTCCACCTTTATAGGTTTGTTATTGTTACTTGCTTTTCAGAAGAGAGCATTGGAAGTTTGTCACAGTCTAATTTCTGCATATTATGTATGTTTATATACTCAAAAAATTTAAACAATTTTAATTATGAAATTAAAATAGTATGAAACAAAAATTTGTCATAATATATAATATGCACTATTGCATAAATTTTGCAAATATATTCAATTCTGCAGTGAATTAATTATACAAGATTAAAAATGAAAACCCATTGAATGAACTAAATAGAATAAAATAATTTCGAAATCATAGCTTTTGATTAATTGCTGAGCACATTGCACTGACCTGTACATGGTCAATACAAGCCTCCAACTTCACAATTTTTTATTTTTATTTTTTAGTAATTTCAAGTCAGTTTTTACTTTTTATCAAGCGTTTAATTTGAAGACTGTGTTTAGTGGTCTAATGAATATCACAATCTAAATGCAACAAATAGAATGTTAGTTAACCAGTTACGTTAAAAAACTTCACAGTGTTTTAGAATTTCCTTAAACTTATATGGGGATATTAAGGTTTCTTATTATAATATGAGAATCATTAAAAGTGGCTAACAATTGGGAAAGATATAATGTAAAAAATACAACAAAAAGAACATTTAGTTGAACTCAAGTGTTAAGAAAATTGGGTTAAAACAGATTATAATTTGGAATATTTTTTAGTTAAATGTAATTATTCATTTTAATCTCAATTTCAAAACATGAGTTACATTATATTATACTAGCTTGCCAGGCAGACGTTCTGCCTTTTTAGACGATCCTTTGTCATGTCCTATTAAAAATCCTTAAATTCAAAATTAATTTAAATCCTTTTTAATTGAAAAAAAGAAATTGTGGGCCACTCATGGGCAAAAAACTATCCTATCTCTCAAGTTGGACCAAACTGCACATGGTGTGCAAATTTGATTAAAATCGGTTAAACAGCGCGTCAAAACGCGTCCATCGCGAACAAACAATGTGACACATAATTTATGTATATTATTAAGATAAACCTACAGAAAAGTATATAATTAGCATGTGCATCATAACAGAATGGATTAAAAATACTCTACTCTTAGTTTTATTTTCAATAGCTTCATTCATACACCTATATATAATAAAAAGACACTTACTACTTCTGGAAGCGTATGTAGAATCTTTGGATGATGTCCTCCGTGAGTCCCATTCCCTAGGCTTCTCCCACTGTGACACTTCACTGATACAGTTATAATAATACTTCTTGCCAGATGAACTAATGTGTTCTGACCATTCACTGCCTGAAGGCACGCTCGTAGCCGGTGCACTTCTTTTGTCATATTTACTACTCCTACTAACACTACAGTTCATGCCACTAGTCCTACTTTTTTTCTCAGATTCACACCGTTCATGGTTATTCTTCTCTCTTTCACTATCTTTGCTTCGTTTCTCCTTAGGTGATCGGACACTATCTGAAATTGTTTTACAATCAACATTAAAAGATAAACAGACACTTCTAGCAATATATCAGAATATAAAACAAACTTTCAGCTTAATATGACAAGTATTGCTGTTGCTTCATACTATAAACTTAAATACCATTAAACAAGCACTATTGACCTAGTTTTAAATCATAGAGATAGCTTATGACATTCGCACTGTAATAGTATGTCAGGTGTAGATTGCATACATTCGCTGTTGCTTTTTCATATTTCTCCAATTATAATTAATTTAATAATAATTAATCCAATTATTTAATTTAAAAAAACGCTGCTTTCCCAATACCAGTCTCTATAAAAGTTAGGTTGCTACAACCCTGTCCCTTAACAACCTGTATTACATACAGGTGAAATTGGCATTTAAAGAAAAGTCAATATATTCCCTTCAAGTGTTGCCTCTTGTACTCAATGTATAAAAATAATATTTTAACATATTAATTTTATAACAATAACATTTATCATACTTTCTCAAGTTTTTAAGACTAGATTTGAACTTTGTAATGCCATACAAACACTTTTACGCCAGCATGTTATTAAGTAGCTAAAACATAATATTCAACATATTATTATTAACTTGGTATTAGCATATTGCAATATATTATTATTTATGTACATTAACTGCTAAAGAAGGCTTGGGTGAAATCCACATAGAGTTGGTATAGGTGTTAATTATACTCTTAGGTAAGCAGTCCCACAACCTATAATTATAAATTATTTCCAAGATCATTATTTAAATTTTTTAAAGCTTGCAATGCAATAATCTAAGTGTTGAACATGAGAAGTGATTTGTGCTTATTAATGTACTTATATTAAATAACAATTATCGGGTCAGTTTGTTTGAATTTCATATTGGTACTCCATTATAATTATTTAAAATAAATTATAAGTAGTAATAGCTTCCAAAAACCAATCACGCTGTAATGTAACTAAATAGACCCACCTGTGTACTTATTTCTAGATGATTTATAGTCTCGATCTCTCTCCTTTTCTGAACCCTTCTGCATATAAGAATTTCTGGATGTTGAATGCCCTCTATCATCAGGCACATGACTGTAATGGTGGTGTCCATGGGCTGAGTGGCCAGTGTGGCTGGCATGGCTGTGCCCATGTGCAGACACATTACCATTGGGTGACCTGAGTGGCGTATAGCGTGTGTCTGGGATATAATCATTGGTTCGCCTTTCTGCTTTAGAGTTGTACTTCTGTATGACAAAATAAAATAAGATTAGCCAGAAATATATATTAGCTAACATATAGTCAATAAAACGACAGCCTAGTGTTAAAGAAATAATAAAAAAGATATGATTTCCAGTGTATAGGAATGATAGCACAAATGCAAAAATGTTTATTGTACAACATTACTTATTTTCTATATAAAAGAACCAAGTCAAATAAAATAAATTGTGTGGTATTTACTCATTATTTAAAAACATGAAGTAATACATTCGTAATTAGATTAATGACAGGGGCAGTAGCAATCTTGACAGCTACTCAAAACACTTATTTGGCAAGAAAGGGGACGATAGCAGAAGGAAGAGAATATCCGTAGAATTATTACGTCGAGAAATGTTAAAATCCTAATTAATATGAAGATTATTTTGATCCTATAATATTAATTGTTATAATATAATAATATATTGATTGTTATAATACATTCAAAAAATGCTGGATAGTAATCTCTTACTTGGTATGGATGGGTCTGGTGCTTCTCAAAGTACCTGAAAATAGACAAAACATTTAGTGTGTTCGCACGATTTACTCGCACTCAATCGGCGACCGCCATCTATATAGTGCAAAGCCGAAGCATCAGAAAGCGTATCATACCCATCGCTTATTCGCTGAGGTTTCCTTGCATGCATTACCATCAATGCAAATGTACGATTTATTACGGCCTCTGTAATAAAATTCAAAACGAAACCACTGTTATTCAAACAGTTTTATAGGAGGCCGCGATATATCTTGATGGACGCCATGTCACATTCGAGACACTCAAGAGCTCAAGAGTGAGTCGATATAAGCGAGAAAGAGATAAAAAACGAATCGACAACGTAACGTAAACTGTGTAGAGTTATAGAAGATAAACAACGAGGAGGTCCGAAAGTAATTTGCTTTGTCTATGATTACTGCCATTATCGTAGACAGAGAAACCTACCTATAGACAAATTGACGCCTTCTTTCGCATTCGCACACGAAAAAGATAGATTTATGCATACGTCTTGCATAGAAATGAGATAGAGCGGTGTGATTGTTTATCCCTTTCTCCGTGCCGGTTTTTTTGTTTAGCAAACTCTACAGTTTGCTAAACAACTTTAACAGCGTAGAGATTTAAGGAGTTTACAAGTTGGTTTGGGTGAGAAAAAAGTATTTTGTGAGCTTAAGATTGGTGAATCTTGTTCAGTTCAGTTCTTACAACAATTAAAATTTTTATCTAAATATGTTTAAAAGTCATAAAGATTATTGTATAACCTAAAAATTCGTTATCGTCGTTCCTCACTCGAGGCCACGCCGATCATTAGTCTATAGGTTTCTCTGTCTACAGCCATTATCCACAAACCAATAAGAGTATGGCCATTACCGCTTCACTTAATTGCACGTTTAGATTATTGGCACGAGCAACTTGCCGAGTTATTCTTGGACGAGTATGATGCATTTAAATATTCGTCTTAAGGATATTCACTATATTAATTAAACTGTATTTCTATTCACAAAATTCACTTAACATCAATATAACGAATTTACTCGATGTTTACCGAACGATATATCGGATTGATTCGATGTTTTGACAAATATTTTATCGTGTGCGATATATCGATATATTTAATTATGGAAACATCGATAATTTTTTTTAATTTTTTTTTTCAAATTTTTTAAAAAACTATATAATTTTAACACTTCATTGTTCAGTTCATTAAAATAGTGACATCTAAGAAAAGTAAAGTAAAATAAAGTTACAGACTATATATGTCCCACTGCTGGGTACAGGCTTCCACTCATTTTTGAGAGGGTTACGCTGCCCCAATGCGTGTTGGCGAACTTCACATGTATTCAAATTTTTTTTCTTATTCCTCAGACATGCAGGTTTGCTCACGATGCTTTCCTTCACCGCCGAGCATGTGGTAAATCAGCACTTAAAATTGCAATTAACAATTTCATTGGTGCCGGCGGGGAATAAACCCGAGTTACTCGCGATCTGTTATATTTACAGCGAGCGTTAAGCATCTGAGCTACCACGGCTCATTTAAGAACGACCAGCTTAATTACGTAATCTATCCTGACAGATCGATCGACCATCCACTCTCAAACTCTCAATCTATACAATGTACATCTATCCTTAAATTAGAATCAATATATAGATGCGTTGTCACCCCTGAGAACTATGTAACTAAAAACTATGGGATGCCCCGTTTCCAGTAAAAAGAGACTATGGCTCTTTATATGAAACACAGCAGCATTAAGCTGGCAATATTTACGTTTCGGTGGTTTATTATATTCTTTCTTTACTCAATATTTTCGTCACTTACCACTAAATCGCTTATCTACAAAATACGTTGACTGTGTATGATTATTTATTTGATCCCGATTTTTCAATAACCCGACCAATATTCTTCCGCAACCTTACAGATGCCGTTGCCCGAGCTTTTAATATTTTTGAATAAAATTGAACGAGAACTTACAAGCAAGTAGATGGTGTTGCGATGGGCTCACCTGTATCTTCCATTGTCGCCGATATATTCATGGAAGACTTTGAGGAGAAAGCCCTCCTTACTGCACCTATTACCCCAAGGTTCTACAAGCGGTACGTAGACTATACTTTCACAATTTTACCATCAGACAAAGTAACTGCATTTTTAGAAATTTTTTCCATTAATTCCTTGTAATTTTGACATTAATTCCATAAACCCTAAAATTCAATTTACTATAGAGTTAGAGGCAAATAATTCCTTAGCTTTCCTAGATGTGTTAGTCATCCGAAATCCTAACAACACCATAGGTCATACTGTGTATAGAAAAAAGACCCATACGAACCGATACTTAAATGGTGAATCTCACCATCATCCTTCACAGTTAGCTACCGTGGGCAAATCTTTGTTTCAGAGAGCACGAGGGATCTGTGACAGCAAACACCTGACCGCCGAGCTTCAGCACGTCAGCACTTAGTGGACTTGTGAAGAGCTGTAGTGATGATTATATCATGAAATATTCAATTTCATTAATATTTATTTAATACTGATTTCTGGGAACCCGTATCACGGGTTCTCCTTGATAAAGTTATACAAAAATAGTAGGTTCGTGACTCCTTCATCACAAAGTTTAAAATTTTAAGGGTCAAGTGAATAATGATGAATGTTTAAACACCGACACGAGTACACATTAGCATTTCTTTTACTCTTGCCAAAAAAGCGACATCGAGTGAAGAACAGCCGAATACTCGGACCGAATAGCGAGAACATCCGAACAAGACGTTCACGTGCTCATCCTGGTGTCTACTCGTCTGTGCTCTTCGAGTATCTACATATTTATTTATCTATGGTATCTAAACGTTGCCTAAAAATGTACTATAGTGCCTAGCTACAGATTACCTCCTAACAGTACGTTTGCACTGAGAAACATCCAACACGTAATGCTTTGAAACAAATCCCATAAAATAAATCACACAACATGTTTTGTTGATGGTGGCGTTCGCACTCACAAAAACTGTGTAAAATTTTCAACAGATATTAAGATTTGTTTTTAGCTGTGTTCGCATTAAATACAACATAGACATTCTATTTGTTTATCTCTAGATTTTTCAACGTTAGCGTTCGCACTGTTGTTTCTTACATTTCGCGATTTGTTTTGAATCGTGTTTTTTTGTTATCCAATTTATTTGATAAACATCACAAAACATTATCACCCCTAGCGGAGATAAACGATAACTTTATACATAATATCATCATCATCATCATTACAGCCCTTCACAAGTCCACTGCAGAACATAGGCCTCCCCCAAGGTATGCCACAAAGCACGATCCTGAGCCACCTGCATCCACCGACTTCCTGCATGGCTTACCAGGTCGTCACTCCATCTAGTGGGGGGTTGCCCTACACTTTGCCTACCGATACGAATATAAATTTGGTATATATCTCCACAAACTCCATCTTTATCATTAATCAGATTACCTGCAATTCTCTCGTGTGGTGGAAAAGTTTAGTTATTTTTGGGGTATTTTTTTAGGTTGCCTGTCCCAGAGCTCGATATAAAAGAACATAATAAAATACAAAACAAATTTCTAATTATTTATTCAATTAAAATACATAACTTAAAAAAGAACTGTACAAAACTGTTTATCAAATAATTTAGTTTGTTACTGCCATCTTCATAACGTGTTTTAAGTGATAAGAAAATTTTCTTCCACATGTACTAATTATGTACTTATATATGAGCAAGAAATATGAAAGCATGTACCATTTTTCTCTCAAAATTTTACAAAGTTTACCATAGTTTAGGCTTATTCCAATAATCTGTGTTTCCTTGGAGATATACAGGGTCATTTTGCGATAACCGGTCAAATTTGCAGAAAAGGTTCAAGATAACTAATATAGGCTAACGTTGAAGAAAAATCCATTTTAAAAAATCTTAAACTTTGTGTCCTTTTTATCTCTTAAATTCAAAATGCGCAGTAATGTATTGTATTAAGTGAATTTACTGCACACGCAAACATTCGTAAGAGTAATAATAATAATAATAAATACGGCTCGAATAGTAAGAAGGTTCCTATCTTTGGATGCCTAACTTCACCGATAGCTTAGAATTCCTCGCCGCGGTGGATAATAGCCGAAATAATAATATTATTTATATATATTGTATTTATATTTATAATATTATAGTTTTGTGATAATATAAGTGATCATATAATAATAATAATTATTGAATCCTAACATACTTTACATAAAAACTAAAACTTATAAAATTACATTGACTAGACGTAAATCTAACTTTTTTTTTTTAAAGTAATTTGTATGATGACTGTGAAAATAAATGTTTTGTGTTATATTTAATCTTACGTATTAATATTTACGTATTAATAATTAATAAATAAAAATGTATATGGCAATTTTCTATTTTTTATTCCAAAACACGGCAATCTAGATCCCAAAACACAGCAACTTAAAATTTCGAAATGGCAACCCTGAACTCCATTCATATATATTTATTACTTGCTCTCAATATGCTTCATTTTAATTAGTCTGTTGTTTGGAGTATCACGGGAAAATAAATAACCTCTATTTTTGCAAAATTAAATTAGATTTTTTGTACGCAATAAAGATGGCGAAACCTGTTGATATGGAATTGAAAAAAGCTTTTACGGAATTACAAGTAAAAATGGTCGAAACTAGTAAGAAGATTCAAATTATTGACTCTCAAATCAACACATTGAAACGAGTGTTGCAGCATTTAGATATTACACAGCGCGAAATTAGCACATTACCACCTGGGACAAAAACATACGAATCCATAGGCAGAATGTTCCTTCATACCGACTTAGACGAAGTGCAAAATAATCTCAAAACTCGAGTGTCCCAATTGTCCAAGCGCACGACTGATTTAGATAATAATAAGCAATATTTAGAAAAAAACCTTAAGGAAAGCGAGGATAACATTCGAGAAATGGTGCAGCAAAGAAAGGAGCAGAGCGATGCAAAAGCAAATTAGTTTTAGACGATAATATGTTTAGTTTAAATGGTTGTCATTAAGTTTCTTTGTCATTTATAAATATCTCGATTAACAATTTAACTATTTGATTGTTATGTTAATGTTTTCAATATGACTGGATGTAACAAATATTCAAAATAACCTGCTGACTTATTTTCCTTTTTTTAAGTTGATTTATAATAGGTTAATAAATTGGCATGTATTATTCTTTCAATCTAAACCTGTATGTAAGAAAATTTACTTAAAATGGAAAAATAAACTTGAGAAATATGTCTAACAAAGGCTTTTTCACTTACTGCTAAAGATATACTCTGAAAAATGCTATGGGGTAAGTAATCCTGATTATAGATGTCTATTTGCATTATCTTATATTTTAAAATACTTATAATTTAATGTTATTATAAAGTATTACGGGTTACGCCACACAAGATTTTCTCCAGTATTGTGTAGGTAGTTTACATACAATAATTGGATAAGGACAAACATCTGGAGCTGGAAAAGTTATTTGTAGGCCATTTAAATATGTTATGGGATTCAAACCCACGGTTCTCTGAGCCTCAATTTAATGCTAAGCCATTGCACCATTGAGCAATTACATACTAAAAAACAGGCTACCCACATAAATTTTATTACCTAATAGGATGTAATAGTAACTGCCTATACTAATAGAAAGAATTTAAATTAGGTTTGTATCTAAAAAGAGATGGCATATTTAGAAGCTTTCAGATAATTTATTACAAAATTGACTTTACATATTATGTGTTTACATGATTGTCTTTTTTTGGCTTAAATCACAGTGTAGTTTTATTGACTAACAGTCTTAAAATAGTTTGATTCTGACCCTTAGTATGCTTCTATAGAGTTGTATTTTACATTAAACTGATAAGCGTGAAACCTGTTCTAGTATAAATATTTCACCTCTAGCTCCTGCTTTGATTATAAAAAGCTTTCTTAAACAAAATTTTATATATTCATGTTTGAATGTTTGCACATAAAATGGAGTATTATATTAAATAAGAAATTGCAGTAACATGACAATAAATAAAACAACTTTTCGAATAATGTTTCATTTAATCCATTTTTGGCTTAATGCCAAAATCATATTCCTCGAAGAGATAACTGACAGCACTCATTAAAGCGTAGTAAGAATCTAAATATTAATTTCTATTGAATTGACTGAATTTAATAAGCTGAAATCTAGGTAGTTAATAGTATTTATAAGTAATACTGCAGCTCTTCCCAGCCATTTAAGTGGATAGTGATTTCATTTGTAACATCAAAATTATTTAAATAAAACCTAGTTACGTCTTCTATGTATCTCTTATAGTCTGGCCTATTTATATCCTTACTAGTACAGTCTGTTGTTCTATGGAATATGCTCCTTTACAAAATCTTAAACTTGTTTAAGTTTTTCACTCTTTATTTTCCATTAAACCAATAAAAGTCTGCTACTGAATATAGGCCTCTCCCATAGTTTGCCTCATAGGGAAATGATTATGTTACAGTTGCCACATTCGCTAGCGGCGCGTTGGCTACCCCAGTTTTTTTATTTTGAGCGGTTATCAGGACAATGCTGCTGGCCCATCTTCTGTTTCAGTTTCCCTTCGTCACTTCTTACTACACACATGGGATGATATTATGGGATAGTGGATATTCTTACACTACTCCAACACAGTTAATAATTTATGAATTACAATATTTAAAGATTGGGGTGCAGTAATGATAACAGATTATTTTAAATAAGTTTGTTATATTGTCCAATCTATTTTTATTATAATTGCAAGTAATAAGTTTATTTCAATCATAATCCTGCTAGACTTGAATGCGCGTTAAGTGTTTCGTATTGCTCAAACTTTGCAGACTTATCTAATTTGGTTGAGTTATATTTGCTAAGTTTACTTCGAATGTGCTTTGGTATTCTTACGCGTTGAAAAATTATTTTTACTTGAGGGTATCTTATAATTATTGTTGGAAAACATTACTAAAACGATTTATGGAAATTACTCATTTGGTCTTGTAATAATACGTTAACGTTAACTTCAATATTTGAATACTAATTTTGGTTTGAGAAAGTAAAATATTCCATTAAATATCTATAATTAATAGTTTTACTTAACATCCTTATTTAATTTTACGTTGTTGTTTTATAATAATGTCGCAAGAAGAAATTAAACTTAAAGTTTTTACGTCACAGCGCGAGTATATTTTTCGTTCTATACAAACTCTTTTCGATTTGTCCACTCAAATACGAGAAGACTCAAGTTCATCTAAGGTTAGCCAATTTAAATCTAGATTTCTTAAAATTGAGAACATTCGTTAGGAATATGTTTTGCTTACGGAAAAAAATTATTCGTTAAAACTGGCTCTGTTTCCTAAAGAAAAAATTGATATGCAAGCGTTATCTGCATTTAATGATTTGTACTACGAAGTCCTAAGTTTTGCCTCGGAGACGTCCCTACCGGAGCGCAAACAAGGAAACAGCCCAAAGTCCGCTGACGTTAACGTCAAATCACGCCATTACGCCTGACACGGAAAAGGTACAAGCTAGATTGCCACAAATTGAGCTTCTAAAGTTCGACGGAAAAATAGAGAATTGGCAAACATTTTACGACACTTTCGTAACGTTAATTCATAATAATAAATAAATCGCGAATATTACTAAATTTCATTATCTAATTTCTTGCTTATTGGGACCAGCTTTAGGGATCGCAAAGAAGGTAAAACTAACTTCTGATAATTATGAGCTTGTTTTCTAGGAACTTGTTAAGCGTTATCAAAATAAGCGCATTTTAGCCGTGAAGTATTTAGGTATATCAAATAAATAACGATCCTTATTTAAAAAAATCCTAATTACTATGATTTACAAACGTATACTAATATTCTTTGTGAGTCAGTCAATGCCCTTAAGGCCTTAGAGCTAGATGACTTAGGCGATTTTATTTTATTTAACGCAGCGTTTCGTGCACTAGATTCTGATACGCGCCACCGCTTTGAATCTGAGAATAAATTCCCTCATTTCAAAGTCTTATGCAGTTTTTTCAAAACTATGTAAAGGTTTTAGAAATAAATGCTAATGTTGACATTAGCCAGTAAACAAATTAAGAATGTTTGACCGCGGGCATCGAACCTCAAACGTTCTGTGCTCACTACTCAATCTAAGCCTACTAGTTCGAAGCAGTTACAGGCTTCACTACAGTGCTATTGTAGTGGCAAATTCCACCAAGTCGGAGCGCTCATCGATAGCGGCGCTCAGGACTGCTTCATCACGATGAAGTGCGCAAAAAAACTTGGTTTTCGATTGCGTCGATACACCACAACTGTAGCTGAACTTGGACAACAATCTGCGTGTCAAGTCAAAGGAGTGACTCAATGCTCTATACGCCCATGTGATTCGAATGACCCGCAATTCGATATTAATCCTATAGCATCGAAAACATTACTTCTAAAATGCCAACCACTGATATTCCCCTGGCGGTCCGAGACTGTTATAAGCACTTAGTATTGCACTGCAGAGAGGTGTAAGACAGGGTGATGTTATATCCCCGAAACTCTTCACCGCTGCGTTGGAAGACGTTTTAAAGCTACTGGACTGGAAAGGATAAAGTATTAACATCAATGGCGAGTACATCACTCACCTTCGATTTGTCGACGATATAGTCCTTATGGGAGAATCGCTGGAGGACCTTAGCACTATGCTCAATGACCTCAATGGTGTCTCCCAACGGATAGGTCTTAAGATGAACATGGACAAAACAAAAATCATGTTTAATGTCCATGTCACACCTATGCCGGTAGTTGTTGGGAGCACTATGCTCGAAGTTGTTGACGAGTACGTTTACCTGGGACAAATAGTCCGACTAGGTAAGTCCAACTTCGACCGAGAGGTCAATCGACGGATTCAACTCGGCTGGGCAGCGTTCGGGAAATTACGACACATCTTCTCGTCAGGTATACCTCAATCTCTGAAAACTAAAGTGTATAACCAGTGCGTGTTGCCAGTGATGACTTACGGATCTGAGACGTGGTCCTGGCTGGCCGTATGAGGACGCTCAAGGTCGCTCAGCGAGCTATGGAGAGGGCTATGCTCGGAGTTTCTCTGCGTGATAGACTCATAAATGAGGATATCCGCAGTAAAACCAGAGTGACCGACATAGCCCAACGGATTAGCAAGCTGAAGTGGCAATGGGCCGGCCATTTAGCTGGAAGAACCGATAATCGATGGGGAAGAAAGGTTCTCGAGTGGCAGCCTCGTACCGGTAGGCGTAGTGTGGGGTGACCCCCCACTAGATGGAGTGACGACCTGGTAAGACATGCAGGAAGTAAATGGATGCAGGTGGCTCAGGACCGTACTTTGTGGCGTTACTTGGGGGAGGCCTATGTTCAGCAGTGGACTTGTGAAGGGCTGTAATGATGATTATGATGATGATGATTAGCTGATCGTGACTTTGACAGACCGTCTGATGTTGATCTATTGCTAGGTGCTGAAGTATTTCATCACATCTATGACGGCCGTGTCATTCCACCAGAGCCCGGCTATCCTGCTGCTTTACATAGCCTCTGGTTGGGTTCTATCAGGACCCACAAATGTAGAGAGTCAAATAAAATCGGTTGGCACTTCGTTAATTACTTCAACGAATTCATTGGATAAGATGGTAAAACGATTTTGGGAAGTCGAGGAACCACCTCATCAACATATACCTGCTCCAGAGGATGAGGCCTCAAACTTATAGGGAATCGGACGGTCGATATGTTGTTTCTATATTATTGAAGCAGTCGTCTGTTTATATGGGAGACTCATAATAGTTCTTTGTCGCAGTTTATAAAGCTCGAGAAAAAACTTTGCCGACAATTAGAAGTCAAATCTCTTTATAACGATTTTATGCGTGACTATGAGAAGCTTAGTCATATGCAACCTGTGGGTAAGGATATTCCACCTGGTAGATATTTCATTCCTCACCATTGTGTGATCCGTCCAGAAAGATTAGCGACCAAACTTCGCGTTGTATTCAATGCGAGTCACAAGACGACTAATGGACTATCTTTAAATGACATTGTTGACTTGGTTGATATTATTACTGGATTTCGGATTCATAATATAGTGTTCACATGTGACATATCTGAGTTGTACAGGCAAATCGTGATAAGGCCAGAGGATCGAGTGTGGCAACACGTACTATGGCGTAAATCCCCTTCTTTGCCTGTTCAAGAATTTGAACTTCGTACGGTCACATACGGAGTCAAAAGCTCGCCGTACTTAGCGATACGAACATTACATAAGTTAGCTACAGATCACGGTGATCAGTTTCCTCATGCTGCTGAAGCTCTTCGGCATCATACTTATATGGACGATATTATTACAGGTGCTTCCTCAATCGAAGCAACCTCTCAGCTTAAAGAAGATCTGATCAATCGTCTTAACTGTGCGCAGCTAGATTTACGTAAGTGGAGCAGTAACAGCCCTTTACTTCTTCAAACGTTACCCATGGAACATTGGGAATGTCCGAAGTCATTTTCTGATGATGGTTCAATAACGCTTAAGGTTTTAGGAGTTCAATGGGATCCCACGGAAGACTATTTCACTTATTCCGTCTCTCCTGTGAATGTGGAGTTTACGAAACGTTCAATCCTGTCCCACGTTGCTCGTATTTATGATCCGTTGGGTTGGCTTTCACCTTTTATTCTTTTAGCCAAACTACTTCTTCAAAGCTTATGGCGTATTGGGTTGTCTTGGAATGAACTCATTCCTGCCAATCTACGCAACGATTGGGTTCCATTTGTGTCTGACTTATACAATATAAAATCGATAAAAATCCCTCGTAAAACCGTGATACTTAGGTGCTACACACCAGCTAATTGGGTTTTGCGATGGATCAACAAAAGCATACGGATGCTGTGTCTATCTTCGATCAAGTATCAATGATCAAAAACATGTTAGTCTTTTGATTTCTAAATCTAAAGTGGCTCCGATTAAGCCGCTAACAGTTAATCGTTTAGAGTTGTGTGGTGCGCTCTTGTTATCACATACCCTTAAACACATGCAATCTTTACTTATTTCGAAAACTGTATTAGCTTAGATCAATACAGAGCCATACAAACTGAAACCTTTTGTTGCGCGTCGAGTAGTTAAAATAACTGACGCAGTTGAACCTTCTGTCTGGAGGCATGTCTCAACTCAGAACAACCCTGCCGAATTTCCTAGTCGAGGTCTCTCGTGCGCAGAGTTGGTCAAATGTAAGCGATAGTGGTCAGGACCGGAGTGGATGCTTAGTGGTCCAGATCACTGGCCAGCTCAAGTTCGGTGTAAGCCCCAGGACGAGTTTCCAGATTTAAAAACAAGCACTCAATCTCTGGAATTGATAAAGACATTATAAAGGTGTTATTAAATCGGTATTCATCCTTTTCGCGACTACAGCGAGTATTGGCATGGGTCTTACGCATCATCTCTAATTCGCGCAAACACCCAAGCCAACGCGAAAAAGGTAACTTGACTACGGATGAGATAAAGTGCTCTCTGCTTAGCTTTATCAAATATGTCCAGCGGGGCAGCTTCAATCAAGAGATGTCTAAATTAGAATCGCAGAAGCGTCTACCTAAATACTTGCAAAAGTTGTCCCCGTTTATCGATTTAGGAGCCCCCGTTTATTGAACTTAGGACTTATGCGAATGGGTGGATGGCTTACTAATTTTAACTTACCTGATCACACAAAACATCCATATTTGTTACCGAAACAATCAATTTTATCTCAATTAATTATTAGCTATTATCATAAACATTGCAATCACTAGTTGTTCGCAAGTTCTAGATTTTAGGAATTAGAAATCTTATTCGTTATATTTTAGCAAAGTGTGTGATTTGCTTTCGAGTTAAACCTGTACCCTACCAGCCGTCTATGGGCAACCTGCCACCTTGTAGATCTCAACAAGGTTACTGTTTTCAACAGGTAGGGATCGATTTTTGCGGTCCTTTTCTTGTAAAAGAAAGCAGACGACGTAACGCACGGGTCAGTAAGGCTTACATTTGTCTGTTCATTTGTTTATCTGTAAAAGCAGTTCATTTAGAACTCGTATCTGAACTGTCTACAGAAGCGTTTCTAGCAGCCCTAGACAGATTCGTGTCTCGACGTGGAATATGTCGACATATTGTGATAGATTGTGGCACGCGCAAAGCGATACCTTGAGGAAATGGTTAAATTATTGATAGATAAAAAACAAGATATTTCTGATCAATTAACGTCTCGTGGAATATCGTGGAAACTAAATCCACCTTCAGCACCTCACTTTGGAGGGATTTTGAAAGTGTTATAAAATCGACTAAATATTATCTTAAGAGGGTCATAGGCTCACAAGTAAATGACGTTTGAGGCACTAACTACAGTTTTAAATAAAGTTGAAGCGATGTTGAACTCCAGACCGATTTGTCAGTTATCTTCTGATCCTGGTGAAGTTGATGTTCTCACAGCCGGTCATTTTATTATAGGACGTCCTTTAGTCGCTCTACCAGAACCGTCCGTTGAAGATATGAATCCTAGAACACGCTGGCAGTTACTTCAAAAGCTTTCACAAAGTTTTTGGCGTATTTGGCGAAATGATTATTTACATACTCTTCAACATAAAGTTAAGTGGTTTAAAGAGGATCACAACCATCCTAATATTGGTGAACTCGTTTCAATCATTGAACCTAATCTACCACCTAACGAATGGCGCCTAGTTCGAGTCCAAATTCACCCCGGAAAGGACAATATTGTCCGGGTTGTGACCTTAAAGACAGTAAGAGGCTTACTAAACCAAATCAAATATAAGTAAAAACTACCATGTATAGATTGGTTCTTCATCTGCAAATGTCTGTAACTCTTTTGTTGAAAATAGTAGTTTTTTATATTGTAAAAACGAACTTTCGTTGCCATTTTCTACAAAATTAACGATACCGGCTTGTGTTTCGGTATATGTTTTGGTCTATTATCAACATATTTAAAAAAATTTAAAAAATACTATAAGATGACAGACATATTCAATTAAAAAACCCTGAGTTTATTTTTTAACAAAATGTCACAAATAGTCGTAAAAAAAATAAAAACTGATGCACATTTTTTCACATATTTTGGTAATACGGATGAATCATAATGTATTGCAATAAGGGCTATTTTATTGTTGGTGCCTGCTTTGATTTATTGTACAAAGATTTCGATGAAACCACAGTCCGCGCTCGGCCGCCGTCGTGAGTGGACACTGTATCGCCTGTTTCCAGTGGCTCATTCTGAAAAGATCGCTGTACATACACAAAATATTAGAAAAAAAACAAATTGGAAACATAAGTACTTGACAAGTGATAAAATTATTATTTTTATACTCACAGTTTTTTATTTCGCTAAAAATAAGTAGGATATATAAACTTACCTACTACTGCAACTCCTGGACGAGCGGAACTAGGTGTGCCGAGTTTGGGCTCGTTTTGTTGGTTATGATGAGACCTTACCTCCGCACTTGATGGTGTGACCTGAAGGTGTACTTTCGCGACCGCTATTTGAACTTCTTGTAGAGTAAAACTAGGTGTGCCGAGTTTGGGCTTATTTTGTTAGTTATGATGAGACCTTACCACCGGACTTGATTGAGTGACCTGAAGGTCTAAATCGGTGATTGCAACTGGAACTCCTAGACTGGTAGAACTAGGTGTGCCGAGTTTGGGTTCGTTTTGTTAGTTACGATGAGACCTTACCACCGGACTTGATAGAGTGACCTGAAGGGGTAATTCAGTAACTACTGCTGGAATTTCTGAACGAGTAGAACTAGGTGTGCCGAATTTGGGCTTCGTTTTGTTAGTTATGACGAGTCCATACCTCCGGACTTGATGGAGTGACCTGAAGGTGTAATTCAGTGATTACAAGTGGAACTCCTAGACTTGTAGAACTAGGTGTGCCGAGTTTGGGTTCGTTTTGTTAGTTACGATGAGACCTTACCACCGGACTTGATTGAGTGACCTGAAGGTGTAATCAGGTGGTTACAAATGGAACTCCTAGACTAGTAGAACTAGGTGTGACGAGTTTGGTTTCGTTTTGTTAGTTACGATAAGATCTTACCACCGGACTTGATGGAGTGAAATTCCGCACACCTAGTTCTACTGATTCAGAAATTCCAGCAGTAGTTACTGAATTACCCCTTCAGGTCACTACATCAAGTCTGGTGGTAAGGTCTCATCATAACTAACAAAACGAACCCAAACTCGGCACACCTAGTCCTACAAGTCTAGAAGTTCCACTTGTAATCACCGAACTATACCTTCAGGTCACTCCATCATGTCCGGTGGTAAGGTCTCATCATAACCTACAAAACGAACCCAAACTCGGCACACCTAGTTCCACCAGTCTAGGAGTTCCAGTTGCAATCACCGATTTACACCTTCAGGTCACTCCATCAAGTCCGGAGGTATGGACTCGTCATAACTAACATAACCGAGCCCAAATTCGGCACACCTAGTTCTACTCGTTCAGAAATTCCAGCAGTAGTTACTGAATTACCCCTTCAGGTCACTCCATCAAGTCCGGTGGTAAGGTCTCATCATAACCAACAAAACGAACCCAAACTCGGCACACCTAGTTCCACTAGTCTAGGAGTTCCTATTGTTGTAATCACCAAATTACACCTTCAGGTCACTCCATCAAGTCCGCAGGTAGGTAAGGTCTTATTATAACTGACAAAACCAGTTCAAAGTCCAGAGCTAACATCTCACTACCAGTAGAGGGCTTCCAGTGCCAAGCAGTCTTTGGAGCAGGTATTCATATTTCGTATCGAAGTATATTTCTGAGGTAGGTATAAGAAATGAAAAACAAATTCAATCTTTCAAATTATCAAAATAATTTCATTTGACTACGATTCCCACAGCCAACCGTGCGTACACTAGTGTGTGTGTGACTTTTGTCAATGTAGTAGTGCGATTCTATACCTATCCATTTTGTAAACGCGTCCTTAAGCTAGATTGTAAATTCTAATATTAAAATTAACTAAGTTTTTTTTTGTATTTTTAATGTAAGGTTATCAATGCACAACTTAGTTCAGAATATCTATTAAGTTTGTATTAATGTATATTCTAAGAGCAGCTGGGAACCCGGAGAGCTGCTGGGTCGATGGTTGTCTTATGAAATCCCTAGGTGATTTCAGGTGGTAGGGAATGTTGTGGCTTCGGAACAGTCCCGATAAAATATCCTTTTCCTAAGTATTTTCTATCCTCCCACCTTTCCTTTATACGCACTACTCAAGGATGGTGGACCATCTATTGTCAAGAAAAAAGAAGAAACAAGATGGCTGCGTACGCATAAACCGTGTTACTTACCGCTTGTTTAAAATTCCTCAATAAATAAAGTTGTAAGACTATCGTGCAATTGCTCGTGTCCATATACATTCGAAGTGCGGTGTGGTGTCTATGAATACACTAGAACTTCAACATAAATATTTTAGACTTCGCTATAACCACGAGGAGTGCACCAGTCTTGTGAGTATCCTTGCCTTATCTACCCAGTTCTAAAACCATTTTCATTTACTTCCCGGTTTTGATCATCGGGTTAGCCAGCCCTTGGTCTGGTTGTTCTCCGGTTCCCAAAATCACCAACGAAGCACTTTGCGAAACATTCAAGCCGTAACAAATTATTTGTTCTGAATGATGAGTGTTTTAGAAACATCAATTGCACATTGACAAACATGCTGACGATCAGCAGCAGCATATTATGTCATGGTGTAAGGGCATTTTCTGTTCGCTAACCCATCCGTCCCAACCATAAAGAAATACACCGGGACAAGGGACATTACAGTAACCATGAAAAAACTGAAATGGAAATGGATACAATTAGGGGAAAAGAAAAATGGTCAAAAACAATTATGTTCTGGTTCACAAGAAACAGGAGATGGAAACGAGGAAGACCAACCATAAGATGGATCAATGAAATAAAGGCTGTTGCAGGTGGCACATGGACAAGAGTGGCTGGTGATAGAGAAAAATGGTCACAGTTGGAGGAGGCCTTTGTCAAAAGAGGCACACAGACAGGGATGTTGAAGCAAAATTAGTCTATAATAAAAATAAATATGGAAGAAAGTATGAACTACCATTGTCTGAATAAAAGGCTTTTATTATTATTATTATGTGGGGTATCTATATAGTTTTCTCAACTGGTTAGGTTCTATAAATATATAATTATAATTTAAAATGAAAAGATAAATATACTTACATAAATATCAATAAAATAAAATAAATACAAAAATACATAAATAAATAAAAGCCCAACCAGATGGAAGCCCTCGACAGGGGAGACCAAACGGCCGAGGGTTAGGAGGAAAGGGAAAAAAACCGGCGGACGATATCGAGGACCACCGCTTTCTGCATTTGAGCTCGGAGCGGTCCGTCGCCTCAGATGACCCGAGAGGCTGACTGGGATTAGCCGATTCGCAGAGACTACAGGAATAATTTCGGCCGGCATACCACCCCACAAGTCGGTCACCTCGTGAGCCAGGTCCAGATATTTTGTTCGTTTATCTGTTTCGGCTTTCACGAGGTTCTCGTCATACGGAATGGTAATGTCGACCAAAAATATCCTTGACTGTGCCCGGTCCATCAGCATCAGGCTTATTCGCAAGAATAGTCCTGTCCGTGATGATGGCCCGGTCTCAGTAGAGTTTGGCGCAGTCATTTTCGAGCACGGCTTCCGACAAATACTTGTAATACGGCAATTTCCGGTCCACGAGACCGTATTTCAGAGCGAGCTCCTGGTGTAGAATTCTGGCTACTAGGTTGTGCCTGTGTAAGTACTCAGAGTTAGAAAGCACCGAACAACCGGAGATGACATCCCTAAGTGACTCCCCGGGATGGCGACAAGCTCGGCAGTTGTTTACTTGTTTTTTGTGTTATCTCCGATAGTTGTTGGTCTTAATAACCTGATCCTGTATTGCACAGACAAAACCCTCGGTTTCCCCGAAGAGGTCACCGAAACGTAGCCAGTTGAGGGAGGCGGCTGTATCTACGTGGGGCTCATGGAGAGCCCTGTAGTACCTCCCGTAGAGCTCCTTCTCCTTCCATACGGTCTCCCGGTCGGAAATGTTCTGTACTGCCGGGTCCTGCTATTGCTCGTTGGCTAAGGATAGAGGAGTAAGTCCTTTATCACTAGAAATGACGTCATTATACAATGGAGCATCCGATCTCACCCGGAAGTAATGACGGAGGCTGCACACTTCGCGACTATGCATGGTGAGCGCGTTCAGGAAGCCACGCCCACCATGCTTTCGCGGCAAGTACATCCTCATTACCGACGATCTTATTATTATTATTATTAACCCATCCGTCTAGTGTTATGTGCCGCCTAATAACCAGTAGTCTTTTGCTATAGATAGTTTGACTCAGATATGTGTTACACAAATTTACACATCATCATCATTACAGCCTTTCACAAATCCACCGCTGAACATAGACCTTCCCAAAGGATGCCACAAAGCACAGTCCTGAGCCACCTGCAATCCATCAACTTACTGCATGTGGTACCCGGTTGTCACTCCATATAGTGACGGGAACCCCCAACACTTCGTCTATCGTTACGAGGCTGCCACTTGAGAACCTGTCTTCTCCATAAGTAGTCAGTTCTTCGAGCTATATTGTCGGCCCATTGCCATTTCAGCTTACTACTCCGTTAAGTCACGTCAGTTACTCTGGTTCTAATGCGGATATCCTTATTTCTAAGTTTATCACACAAAGAAACCTTGAACATTGCCCCATCCTTAGCTCGCTGGGCGACCTTGAGCCTCCTCATATATATATATATTATTACTCA